ATGCAGAAATGGCTACAATACGATGCTGCCCGAACCCACCTGGAGCGCTATGAGCGCGAAGGAGATGCTTTTTTATGCCGTATCATTATGCTGGATGAGACTTGGGCCCGATCGTACCAGCCAGAACTGAAATGCCAATCAAACGAATGGCGTCACCACGACGTTCGAAATTTCGTCAGAACCCCAGCAATGTGAAAGTTATGGTGATTCTCGTGTACGACTGTGATGGTGTCATCCTAGCGCATACCGTACCCCCACAGCAGACTGTCACTGCGCAGTATTACTGCTCATTTTTGGAGCACAATTTTCGACCAGCTTTGAGGAAAAAACAGCGACACTTTCTGCAGAATGCTCCTCTCATTTTGCATGACAGTGCTCGGCTGCATGCAGCGCAAGCTGTGACTGATTTGTTCAAGCGAAGGGGCTGGGAAGTGCTTTACCATCCACCATACTCCCCAGTGACTATGACTTAATTCCTAAGATGAAGGAACCACTTCATGGCACTCGCTTCCAAACTGTTCCTGAGATTCTTGCGGCAGTAGACCGGTCCATTCAAACTATCAACAAAACAGACGCTGCTACAGGTATTCTGCGACTTCCACATCGTTGGAAACGGGTTGTACACAATGCTGTCGACTATATTGAAGGACTGTTAAACATGGTGACATGAATAACTTTTGTATTCCTCGTAAATAAATAGTTGCCACTATCAAAGTTCCAACCCTCGTAGTAAATGTTGGGCAAATATGAACAGTAAGTAAAATTCAAAGTTCACTGGTGGGGAGTCTGGGTAATGCATCTGCATTAGACAGGTTTGTTCCCAGGCAGTGCTGTATTTTAAATTATATTTCTGCAACTCTGTGGTGCATTGTTCCAATTTGGAGACTGCAAAGCATTTCTCACAATGAATGCTAATTAATTCTTATATTACAGCTGAACCAAATATCCATGGTTCGAACTTTTTCAATGCCCATACTATAGCATAAGCTTCATGCTCTATAGTCGGCCAGTTTTGTTGGGGTTTCAATATTCTTTACTCATGTAGCATATGAGAACTTCCTTCTCTCCCCTCTGTAATAAACATGCATCTACTCCGACTTCCTCTGCATCTGAATGGATGACAAATGACCCTTGCAGCGTTGAGATGATCAATTCCATCTATTTTACTAATTGCTCATTCATTTGTTGAAATGGCTGACTCATAAATTAGTCTCCATTTGAGTATTTCAGGTTGCTCTTTTAGTTATTTATTTATTTTTTAAATTATGTGAGAGGATAAGTGATCTCTGCATACCCTGATTATAATCGTGATAGTAATCCTAAAAGGTTTTTGAGATGGGCCTTTGTTTTCGGCGTTTTCAGTTTTTTAATTGCTTCTATTTTCTCAGGATCTGGTTGATGTTTCCCTGATCTGATAGCGTGTCCTAAATATTTAATTTTTGGTTTTACAAATGAAAATTTTTTCGAGTTATAGTAAATCCAAGTGACTCTAGTTCGGTGAAAAAACTTTAAAAATGCTTAAAAGATCCTGTAGATCTAAGGTTTCTTTCATTCTATATTTGTTATTAATCTAATTTTATGTCAACTTCTACTGTTTTCAGTTTTCTGATGAATAATGCTTGGTGTTGATTGATGACAGTGATTAGTTTTCGTCATTGTTGGGCATTTAAATTTTATAAATTCATATTCTCATCCATTTTGAAATTTTCCAGGGGCTTCAGAAATCTTTTCTTGGCAAAGTTATAATTTCTGTGAATTTTTTTTTCATTTTCAAATATATCTCCAAATCTGTTGACAATAGTTTGAAATTTTCAAATTTAACTTTATTTTTAAATGCTGTAAGTAATTCACTGCTGATTTGTTTAGTGTAGGTAGGATAGGTATTTCTCCAGACCATGAATATTTCAGTACTACTAAAGGACATCTTGGTTATTTTCCATACATCGGCTGAAATGGTGAGATTCCATTGGTGAAGTTCAGTACTTCTCGATAAGCAAAGAGGAAATATGATATGTGCTTATCCCAATTTGAAGGATCATTTCTGATGACATGATGTAACATTTGCCTGAGAGACTTATTCCATCTTTCTACCAAATCATTTGAAGTACTGTAAGCAGGGGGGGGGGGGAGAGAATCTAGGGTGAGAACCTGGTCTTTTCTGAAATTCTTTAGTTAATGTTAAAACAAAGTTGCTTCCGTTGTCACATGCTATTGTATTAGGAATTTTTGTTCTCATAAATATCTTCAAAGTATATTACAAGTGGCTTTTTGTGTCAAGCTTCTCCGTGGGATTGCTTCTGGACATTGGGAATGTTGGATCTACTAGACATAACACATATTTACGTTTTCTAGCAAGAAGAGGTTCAACAATTACATCAATATTCACTACTTTGAAAGGTAATTCTGATATTCTGACAGATGTGATGGGAATCTTGTCAGATCTCTTTTCTGTATGCTTAAACTGATAAATTTTGCATGTTTTGCAAAAGGTTTCAAAGTCTTGAGCTAATCCAGACTAAACAAATGAATGTCGGATCCTCTTCTTTTATTTCCTCATTCCAAGATGTGCTCTGAAAATGAAAATTTTGCACTAATCCCAACACCTGTGATTTTCTGCTAATAGGAGGCACCAACTAGAAAGCAGTCTATCCCAGTATTCTTTCTTGATCATTTAAAAGATGTTCAATAAATAAATAATTATCCTTTTCCCCTTCAGCTAACTTCGATGTCTCTCTCAGCGATGAGTAATTCCCCTGTTCTCTTCACGGGTTCTCAGCTGCCCAAAAGTCTCTGATTCTGTCAGTGCTCCCCTTCCTCCTCTTTGGTTCTCTTCTTCAAAATTATATCTTTTTAAAAGGCAATGTTTGATTCTTCTGTAGAATTAATCATTATTTCTTGTATTTCCGAAGTTATTAAAAAAAGGCACATTTAGCATATCTGTCATGGCAATTAATGTATCCTCAAAACTAAATAAGCTATTTCCATAATTCTTATAATAAATAGGTACATGAGAAACTTTTCAGTCAGGTGTCTAAAAGCCGAGGTAAGCATGATTTTACTTCCTTTTCGATCTTCAAAAACTGGAATGAATGGAAAATGTACAATCATTATCTGCATTCTGGGGTCTACGATAGCTTCAGTTTTCTCAGAATTGTAAAAAACATTTACTTTTTGCTTTTTTTTTATATTTGGATGATACTTTCTTCAAATTTGGGTCATAGATGAGATTAGTCTATTTTAGCCACTATGCCTTTTTGGTGTTCTGTTTGAATTTCTAGAAGTTCTGGGATCATCCCTTCTCTTCTTCTTTACTGTAGTTTTTTTCTTTCTTCTTTTGACTGGGCAATCTCTTATAATGTGTTGATAGCATCCACAAGTATAGCATTCCTTTCTTCTCGTGAAAAATCCTTCTTGTCTTAAGTATTCTCTTATATGTAGGGGAAATATATTTATCTTGTTTACATATTAAATCCATGAGTCTCGACAGCTATTTAATTTCACTTCTGACTTCACTGAAAGATTTTCATTTCACTGTGAAATAGATATCTCATTCTCTAATTAATTATTGTGGCTTCAATCATTTATTTCCTTGGTATATTGTGACATGTGATGTTGTTTCAAAATCTTCTACTTCTCTTGATTTACAGCAATAGTCCCACATGGCTGCCAGTGGTGAATTAAACTGGATATGCATTTTATCAGAATAATGTTTAGCTTTTCTAAAATTTTCTGAGTAGGAATGGGTTGATATTCCTTTAGAGTATGAGTTTTTACTTTTTTCTAATCTAGTCAGTGGCAAATATTTCATTCACTTAAATCTAGCAATTCCTCAGGAGAAGAGGCAAAGTGTTCCTTGTTAATCGTTAAATAGTCACCATATACTACGGTAGACTTCAAATGTTTTTATCATTTCTTGATCCATTTCAGGAACTGGTGTTGAGCAGAATGAATAAAATTTGTATATTTGGATGGAATGTCTTGGAGCATTATTGAGAATTAGGAGAATTTTAAAGCTCAGGTTTTACTGATCTAAGCAGTGTTTTTAAGCTGTGAATGAATTTTCAAACCAGTCTTTAAAGAGAACTATAGTGATGTGGCCAGTGCTGTGCAGTGTACCACATATAATTGAAATTCATGTGCAAATAAGCTAACATTGAAATTCTGCTAAGATGTTGATATCACTTCTAATGCTGGAAATGATAACTAAAGTTAGAAATTTATGCCTCAAAGCTCATTTATCTCATAATATCTTAAAACTAACATCCAAACCATTTGCAGAATGCAAATCATAAAATTAGATCATAATAATAAAGCTTATAACATCTTATTGAATGCATTATTGGAATCTTAAAACTTCACAATTTTGATATATAAATAACATCTTGCCATTTTTCAAAAATAAACATCTTAAATCTCAGGTTTCCTTTTTAAATTTCTCTACAAATTGTCTTCATACTGTCATCAAAACAAAGAATAATTTAACTAAGCATTGTGATATTTTCCAGTGTTTTCAAATTCTGAGTAAGTTTTTTTGGGTGTTAACAATTTGTATAAACTTCGTAAACAAATGTGTCAGAAAGGAGAAAAAATTAATAAAAAATGTTGAACATATTTTGCAATTCGAAGCAATAACAGCTTTTACAGATGAAGAAGTCTAGAGCAAGTTTGGATATCTTCATTAATTTACATCCCAATCATAATTATTATAGTGTATATTAAAAAAAAAGTATGGTAACATTTAACCCTCTGTTTCTATCTGTGCCACACACATTTTTTTTCTCTTTATCTTTTCTAATGTAAAATATTTGAAGAAGCATTTATGCAAAAATTTTATTTTCTTAATCAATGGCAAGAATCTTTTGTTTACATTTAAAAGTAGTGAAATTATAAAAACTGCATCAGTGGTACACTGTAATATGGGAATTAACTCATTTTTATTCTTTTCTTTTATTACTTGTGATTCAATGGATGTAAAAAAATAATAATAATGTTATTTTTAGAGCAAAGTGTGTGGCTGGAGAAACTGTTCTTATTCATGGTGCCAGTGGAGCAGTAGGTTTAGCATGTGTTCAGTTAGCAAAGAAACAAGGTCTAAAAGTGATTGGTACGGCTGGAACACCAGAAGGCATTGACCTGGTTAAAGATGAAGGAGCTGATATTGCTGTGAATCATAAGGCAAAGGGTTATGAACAAGAAATCTTAGTAATTAGCTTTTTTATTAAAATATTTTTTAACTGTTGCTTTAAATTAATGCTTCTTTTATCCATTAAAGTACTTTTGTGAAAAGTAAAAAATTCAAAAAAAGTTTTCACAAGTTCAGTAAATTTTAGAGATGTGCATATTATGAAGTCTAATTAACCATGGACAGATCATAACTAGGCCTTTTAAAATTAGACAAAAAGAAACCTTAGTCTGATATACATTTAATTAGGCCTTGTCTTAAAAAATGTTTGGGTACTTGCATGTTAACAGAGATGGTTTGACTAGCTTTGGCTATAATTTGATGTAATTAATTTTTCTTTAATTTATTTATTATTAATATGTTTGTTTCTTTTTCTCTGTTTATATTCTTTAGAGTCTCTTTTCTTTTCTTAGTTTATTTCATTTATGCATTCCTCAGTTAACAAAGCAAGAATCTTTCGTTAATGTAAATAGTACTACGGTGACTTCCTGTAATTTTGGGAATTTAATTCATTCTTTTTTTTATTACTTGTGATAAAGTGGATGATAAAAAAAATAATAATCATTTTTTAGGAAGTGTTTTAAAAAATGTTCTATTCATGGTTCCCATTTTTTCAAGTCTTTAGCTATCAGTGGCCAGTGAAAGAAGTGTCCCACTAAAAGTGAAAATAGCCCAAATACACCACCATTGATTTTGCTAAGAGTTGATATTCTAATGCAAAGGCACTATGAAAAATCATCAAAGCTATTTTTTCTTAATTTCAAAACTTCTTACCATACTTGTAGTAAAAAATAAAAAGTGTATAAACATTCAGTAAATTTTAGATCTTGCCAATCTGAAGTCTAATTAACCATGGACAGATCCATAACTACACAGCCTTTTAAAAGGACAAAAAGAAACCTTAGTCTGAATAAATTTAATTAGGCCTTTCTTAAGAACCTGGCTGGGTACTGCATGTTACACAGAGTGGTTTGGACTAGCTTTGGCTTATAATTTGATGTTAAATTAATTTTTCTTTTAATTTATTTGAAAAATATTTGGCAATAGCTTAAATGGTTTTTTACAGAGCTACAACTTTCTGCTGCTGCATGAGCTCTGTTAAGTAAAAAACAAAAAAAAAAAAAAAAAAACAAAAAAAAAAAAAACAAAAAAAAAAAAAAAACACAAACTTGAAATAGTATCTTGCTGTACCCCTATATTTCTTGTTTTCCCATTTTGAGGAACCCTATACCTGCTCAATGTGCATATTGGAATATTGATGGTTACTCGACAATTATTGCAAAGGAAAACAGTTTATACAGTACAAAGTCCGTAATCCGAACGTCCATTATCCAGAATGATCTATAATCCGGACCTCAAAGCCACAAACTTTTTTTTTTTTTTTTTTTTTTTTGTATGCTTTGCGCATGTGCGTTTAATGTATAATGGACGGTATAAGCTAGGCTAAAATTATCTTTACCGAATTTGAAGGTTTTCGGGCATCGCAAACTAAAGATGAAATTTTCCAGTTATTGGATTTTGTAAAGAAATGTGGAGAAGCGATAATAAATGAAGATTGATATAACAGAAGTTTTTCATTGCGACAACAATGCCCCAAACCATCAATCAATTAAAAGATGTCAAAATTTGTAGTATGGTCCTAGATCCAGAAAATACCGCTTCCAATAGTGAAGAAAGTGACAGAGAGGTTATTGAAAACGAAAAAATTTCGATTGACAAGTTAGTCGGTATTCTTGACACAACAATTACAGGACTTGAGCATTGGAACTTTGAGACTGAACAAGAATTAAAGCGAAAGTATTAGCACAAAAAACGAAGCAACATAAACAACTTACGTTGAAAGAAATGTTTAATAAAGTAAACAAATAAATATTAAGCTTTTTTTTTTTTTTGTAAATTTTGATACCTTTTAGATCATAATTGCTTTTTATTTTATAAATTATGGTTTCATATTTTTAATTTTATAATTTCTGCATGCCATCTTACCAGATTTAAATTTGATGATCTATAATCTGGAATTGCCAAAGTCCCTACGAGTCCAGATTACGGACTTCGCACTGTATTTATTTTCTATCTGAAATCTAAAGTTTGGTACACATTGCACCAAAAAAAATTTAAAAGGAGGGACAGTTTTGTATCTGAAGTTCTGCAGAGCTAATTGGTGAAATTTTCATGTCTCGAAAGCGTGAATTAGGGTATATGTTAGATTTATATATAGCATTGTTCTAACATAGGTATTTTGACACAAGATTTTGTTTTTTCTGAGATGACATACCAATTTTTTTTCCGTATTTCAATTCTACAATTCAAATTTTGCCTGAATATTTAATTTTGTAAAACTTCCCAAGAAATTTTTTAAAAATTCTTGATGCTCTTCTTTTTTCAGTTTGCGCCAAGAAATAATTCACTTGGTGCATTTATAGCAACCTATTTTCCTTTCACTTTTTTTGTTGTGCATGAGTGGAAAAATATGTGCATCGTTCATACTTTCAAGTAATTTTAACAAAGTGTCTAAGCCACATTTGGCATTAGTATCACTTATAACAAATATGCCAAATTTTAAAACATGACAGCATATAAATTCTCGTATATGTTTAGAAATTTCGAATAAAAAGCTAATTTTTGCAAGTATGCCTAGACATACATATACTTTAAGGACGAAGGCAAAAATTTAATAGTACTGTAATTTTATAATAAGCATTATTTAATAGTTGTTATAGTAATTAATAAGCAAACATTTATTAGTTGTAATTCGAAAATTTTTTCAAAAAATTTATAGAAATTACTAAAAAAATACAAATTTTAAAATCAAATCGGAAAATAGCTGCAAGTTTTATTTTGTAAAACTTGGCACTTCAGCAAAATTTCTGTCTTAGTATCAAAAATATGGAAAAAATCATCGGTGTGTCATTTCAGGAAAAGTCCAATTTTATGTCAGAATACCTATGTTAGAACAATGCTATATATAAACCAAATATGTATCGTAAGTCGCACTTTTGAGATATTAAAAACACAAGCTAAATTTTGTCAATCGGTTCAGCAGAATGGGAAATATAGAACTGTCCCCCTTTTTTTGTGCAAGGTGTATATCCCAAAATCTCTCTTCTTAAAATTGCAGCTTAAAAGCATTCTTAAAATTTAGCCACTTCATATTGTTGCAGTAGCAATTCATTTGTGTTATGATGCCAAAGTTGGCAATTATTCACTTTTTTAATGAAGTTTGGCTTTTTCTTTTATTAACATGTGAGTACCAAAGTTTGTTCATTACAGAATGGTAGAAAAATTACTTTAAATATTACTGTGACAAACTGTTGGCATTAAAAAAAAAACTGTCTATGGAAAATATAAAAAAGAAAACTGTGTGGAATAGTAACATTAGTAGCAGATGATATCTTAATCATTTATGTTTTAGCTTCTTTATTTCTTATGATGTCTTTATCCCTCCATTATTAACTGTGCGTTCTTTGGGTTATGAGTATGTTTACAAGAGAATTTGAACAATGTCATTGAGATCAAAATTGCAGTAAAAAGTCACTTAGAGCTTTTTGTTCAATTGTGTAATTTTTATATATTCTGAAACACTTGCAAATGAATTACATACTATTGTAATTGTAAACAATTCTTAGATAGAATAGAAGAGAAACACGCCAATGTGACAATTAAAATCACAATAACAACCTTGTATTTAGCGTATGTATATTAAAACACACAATCGATTTCAAGGACAGCTAAAGGTCCCTCCTCATCAGGAGAACGAAATTACTAGAAAAGGGAAAAGAAGAAAAATAAAGCGTTGGCGAAGTAATCTCAGAAACACGTGGTCGTAACCGGATTTTGAATCAGATTTACGCTGGCCGCCTACTTTTACTGAGCCAGGCTATCTGATCAAGCATATAAAACATAGACTAAAAAGCAAACAAATCAGTCAAGTCAAAAAATAGGGAGCGAGGGGCAACTGTGCCTTCACACACCAAGTCTGCACCTCAAATATAGGAAAAGCAACCTCTGTAACAGCATTTTATACCCTCCGGTAAGTACCAAACGCGAGGAGGCAATGCCATCTATCAGCAAAAATAATAAAGAATTATGATAATAGAATTTAAAGGCATTAGGAAGGACTGGATTGGACATAAAATCATTCACTAAACATGTTAAATTCTTGTGAATATGAAACGCCTCAAGCAAATTCAATTCACCAACGGAAGAAGCCTTTTGGATAATTTTTGCAGAACCAAAGTCAAAATTATGATTAAATTTCCAATTATGATACGCTATTGAAGACTTGTTAATTTCGCCTTTTCGGACATAAGATTCATGTTCCTTGATATGAAACTTTAACGTTCTTTTTGTTTAGCCAATATATCTCAAGCCACACTGATGCAATATATCATAAATTCTCCAAGAATTAAAGTCAGAAACGCAATCTTTTAGAATCGAACTGTGATTTTTATTAATAGGGAAGTATACGACTTAAAATTGAATTTCTGGAGAATCTGTGCAACTTTATAACTAAAAGAACGATAAAATGAAAGCAGGACAAGGTCATTAATATTATTTTTAACAGTGGAATGTCCTCTTTGATGGGAATCTGAAAATTTTTTAATGGCTTTATCAATGATCATGGGAGAAAATCCTTGGTCAATAGCAACTGCTCTCAAATAATTAAGTTCATTGGTAAGCAAAGATTCTGAAGAGCAAACTTTGAGCGTATGAAATACATAATAGTAAAAAGAAGCCATTTTTTGCTTAACAGGGTGGTATGACTTAGCATGGGGTGGTAAACAAACTGCAAAAGGTTTACGATACACAGTACAGTCAAAAGTCGTTAATTCGGACACCCATAATCTGGAATGATCTATAATCCGGACCTCAAAGCTAAAAACTTTCTGCGCATGCGCCTCATTGGCACATGCGCACAGGCGTTTTACGTGTGCGCGTAAAACCTTGACTACTGCGCATATGCGTGTGCGCAAGTGCAGAATACGTTTTCGCCTGCGCGTTTAATGTATAACGGACGGTG